AGGGGCTGGATAACCTTTCATTAATGACTGATAGCGAAAAACAGAAATATTTTTCTATTAATAATTCAATCCAAAATGACTTTTTATTTTTATTTTTTATTTATTTAAATTCTAGTTGACTACATTTTATTTCCTATAGTTTTCACATATTTTTCATATGTTGGTAATTTACCCAGGTAGTATGCTTTAGGAAAAGTACTTAACAGCAAATGAAAGAATAATATTGGTTAGTCGACATAATTAGACAGGACTGTTCCATACTACATACTACAAGTATTTGCATGCCTCAATAACAATATACTAAGAAAGAGACGTTTTAAAATTTTATAAAAATATTCCTCAACACGCATCCAACTAATCAGAAAAAGTAAAACATGATTTTCCTTAATTTATTTAAAAAGAAAAGTAAAGACTATGCACAGGATTTTCTGAGTGTTCTTTAAGCTTAATTACAACCTATAATTTATTCAGAGAACATACAATTATTTACGTATTTACAATTTTACTAAAAAAGCATCCAAGCAAAATAAAAGGAAAAGAATAAGTAAATATGCCTCAGGGGCTTTTCTCTCTATTTTCGGTACAAATCGAAGGTTTGAGACATTTAAAAACAATATAAATGTCTCTTTTATTCAAATCAGTAAGGTATCAAGCTAACAAAGGGAACACGACTTCCTGATATGGCCAATGCCTTCAAAAGGCTTTATATTATTTTCCTCGCTAGATATGATCAAGAAAAATCGTGCTTCTTGCTTTCTTAGTCATACTAATCTTAAGGCTTCTACATATACTGTTGAATTTTCTTCCATTAGAGTAGCTAGACTACGATATCTGAAACTTTTAACGCCTATATTATGTAATCTATTTATACACAATACAATTTATCCTATATATATCTATATATATATTTAACGTATTTAACGAGACTTATCATGTGCTTTTAACTTAATGAATTAGAAAGCGTCTCTCGCGATGCATGCGAATTCAAAACAAGCTATCGCGGTGTTTGGAATCTTATTGAACCAGGCCGAATAAAATTTGCTTCATCTATCATAACCACTGAAAGGAATAACTTGAATCTCGGATTTGGATATATATCTAATGGCGGTTCCTCAATGAAGGGCCCATATTCGACTGGAACTCAGTCGGATTTTTACGATTCCATGAGATCGAAAGTTGCCCTGACTGAGGAGATGAGGTTTGCATCTGCTGGAATGCCTAAAACAAGGATGGGTACATCTCTGGCCCAGGTTTTGATTGGCTCCAAGTCAATTAAATTTGTAGATTCATTGGCCGTTCACCAGACAGTCCAGCTAGACTGCGTGCGTGAAGCTGGGGAGACAATGGAGGATTGGTACACTATCAGCAGAGGGTGGCAGCAGAATGGCTGGTAACTTCATTGTAATCTTGTTACTGCATGTAAGATTTATTCATTAAACGAAATTTAGATTTTGAGCAGATATACATCATGCAAATACATCATTATTTTAGAAGGCTTTCCATATTTTAAACAAGTTTTCCTTTTTTAACCCACATATTAAGATAAAGTTTTAATCCTTAGGTATATTTGTGGGGGATTTTTATAATTAATTTGTAAGCCATTCATTACATACTTTTTTTGAACAAGATAAAAAGAGTGTTCTCACTTTCTTTTGAGTTAATGATTCAAATATTTAGCTATACTATGAAGATAATATATCAAATCCTACTTTTTGGCGCAATGAAAATCAAATTGTTAAATTATTCCTCAAATTATTTACACTTTATATACTTGCAACCTTTTTCACATCAATAAACTCCCATCGTTCCTTATAAAATAAGTTTAAACTCTGCTAATTACTTCACTCCTAATATTTAAAATTTGAGTTTTCTCGTTTCACATTACTTTGGCTTAAGTATTATGCAGATACTGCAGCTAAGTTTTGTTCATTGGTGACTCGCAACTACTTTCTTTCATTGCGTTAGGTTCAATTAAATTAACAAATTTATTCATTTTCAAAGCACAATGCATCATGGACACCATGTTAGCAGAAATAGGGAAATATAAAACCTTTAAAAGTCTATCATCCCTTTCTCTTGATTGAATTTCTTTGAGCAGTTTGCTGGATTATTTTAATACCAAAGTTTTAGCTCCTTATTGCCATCTGAAAGACATTCTATGGATTTAAAAATGAATTATTCTCGAAGAAGTATACCTTTTACGCTGAACTCTTTTACAATAGTAAAATGATACTTATACAGAAGGAGCAATTTTAAATTCTGCTTTTTTCTCTATTTCACTACTTCCTGATGTAACTTACACAGGAGAATCGAAAAGGAAATAAATTTACTTTACAAAGGCAAGCATTACAGATACTTTTTCCATAGCCTATTTATCTACAAAAATATTTTAAATACCTAAAACTGATCAAATAAATGCTTATATAGAAAGCATATAATTTAGTTCACTTGGCAAGGTTTTGTCCGTAAAATTTTACTAATGTATAGGTTAAGAATCGAAGAGTACATAGTCAAGGTTCA